GTGAACTATTAGTACTTAAGTATGTAAAAATTTATTACATTTCATGTTGTACGAGGGTTTTACCCATTTCTCGAACCGTGTCAGAGTGAATCCGTGCTATAAAAGTACCGTGTTATACGGGGGATGGTACCAATTCTCGAACCGTGTTAGAGCGAATCCGTGCTATAGAAGTGCCGTGTTATACGGAGGTTACCTGTATTGAAAAGTGTTTAATCATCGATGAAACAGTAAAATAGGTATATACTGAGAACTAAGAAAGCGTAAAATAGAATATTATTTAAAATTACTGTAATCGATTTTATAGTATTGATGCATTGTATTAGGCCTACATAATTTTTAAAGAATCAGATAAATCAAAAAAGTATTACGACTCTATTCAGCTGTCATCAATTATCTAAACCGTTACTGAATTCGTACAGAATGAAATAGATCAAAGTCGATAAATCTTTGGACAAGTAGTTTCTATTAATAACATACAGTACTTGTGTATACAAAACGTCATTAGTTTGCTTAAAAAAGTTTTTTAGGAATTAAATTAATTATCAACAAAATTTTTACATTTGCATTATAAAATGTAAATATCGAATTGTCTGCACAAACTTATCTATCTTTGCGAAATTTTAATTGAAAATTGTGAACAATTTTTACATGTGTAAAGTGTATATTCTGCATTGTTTACATCTCTGATTTTCTTTTCTTAATATATATATTACGCTTCCTTAATATTTATTTAATTTTATATGTGCATACGAGCGTCAGCATAACATTTTCCAGGGGAACAAAGTTTTGAAATAAATAATTACAGTATATCAATATTTTTTTTACTCGATACCATGGATGGGCAAGTGCCCACTTGCCCCCTATACGTAACTATAAATATCGGTAATCTTTATTACAGTACTTTATGTACTGTAAAATAAAATAAAATTTCATGAAATATTCTATGTTTTTAATGTGATTTCATTCGTAAATTACATTTTATTACATCGCGAAAGTGTTCAATCCGTTTGAACTTTAAGTCTATGTTTTCTTTTACTTTTAAAAGTAAATAAATTCCGATTTATAAATAAACGTTTATTTATTTAACTTTTAAAAATCCCACTATCCCTATTTACATTAAACCAATTAAAGAATTTTCGATATATTTATTTGAGTATGACTTCATTCATATTTACGTAAACAAAAGTTGTTTACGACTTAACGACGTATAAATAACAATGCAGATGGCACTGCTGATTGTAAACAAATCCACGTGTAACTATTTTCTATCCCACAATTCAAAGCGCGTGCTTGTGATCTGTAAAGAAAAACTGGATTGACAAGTAATAGAATTTCGAATTTGCATAGTTTTTGTGCCACGTAAGACCATGTGGATATTTGCTATTACGATAATCTGTAATTTAATCCAGTATATAGATAATAATCGCCTTACATCACCGACTGTATTATTACCATGCAATATTGATGTACCTACTAATTACACACTTAGCATCTCTGAAGGATGCTACAAATGGTAAATTAATAACTTACAATAATGAGTTAATTTTAGTACTTTTTGATACAAAACATATCAATATATAAATCATAATACAAATATTTTAGTATAGTTATTAATAGAGGTAATATAATAATAATAATGTGTGTATTACAAAATTGACATCATTGAGTTTATATAAATTGCAATGGCTTTACTAAAATTATAATGAATGTATTTAAAGCTTGTGTTTAAAAGATTGTTTTTGATGATAATTTTGCTTGACAGGAATGTAGATTAGAAAATAATCTTACTTTTATTATTATATTTTTATTTATAATTTAACAGATTATATAATTTAATTATAAAACATTATACTACTATAAAAAAATTATTACTCATATATACAAAATAAATTTGGCAATTATTTAAAAGTTTTTAAAATTGAAATACTTAAGATATGATACATGATATCTTACATATTTCAGTTTTTTTATACATTATAATTTTATAACTAAATATTACATAAATGAAGTAATGCTTTTATTAAAAAAAATAACTGTTTTAATGACTTTAATCAATACTTTTCTTTAAAGGTGGTGGATGAATTTATTTATTAATTACTAATATAGCACATTTACAACTTCTTATCTGGTCTTAATTTTTATTCTATCTGCTTTACTTTGTTCTGCAGAAATTTCTTTTTACTAGTTCATCTGGTTCATTTGGTTTTGGATGTTGCAAAATTAACAAAAGGAAAGGTCAGTTGCTATCTTTTTATTATATACATATAATAATCTAATAATGCTATTTTAAGATTATAATATATATTAATTTATTTAAAAATTATAATCAATCTGAGTATGCAAGTATAATCTTTATTATAGCTACATAATAATATTTAATGTAAATAAGTTTTTACCAAAAATTTTGTAACAGTTATAAATAAAATAATTTTGCATATATATGGTAAGTATTAATAACTGATTTGTTATATTTTATGAAGTTATTATATAAATCTTTTAGAGAAAAAATTTTGAATAATGAACATTTAAACTGGGTGAACGTAAATGTAGGTCAAATACTATACTATGTAATTTTACAGAATAATTCTTAAAAATTAGAATAATTGAATATAAGAAGGATATTGAGTCTAATAAATGAAGTGCTAAGTTATATTAGTTAAATTAAATCAAGTTGAAGATTTTAAATTAGCAAGAGAGTTAACTAAATTTTCTCCTTCCAAATAACATCAAAACTTTATTTTTAGCTGATTTGAATAGTTTTGGTTACTTTAAATTAATTAAACTTAAATTTTTATTTGACAATTTTATTTATTGTTAACTGAATAATGATAATATTTCATCATAATTATCAATTTGAAATTTGGAGTTAGAAAAATATTTTTGCAAGTATTAATAAAATAATATTTTTTATGTTTTTGTAATTATATTATATTAACAGGATTTAAATGCCTTATGTAAATAAGCTAATTTTATTTTTTAATAGTTTTGAAATACAGGTATACCTCGACTTACGTCGTTTCGAGTTACGTCGTTCCCGATTATACGTCGTTCGTCAAAAAATTATATGGAAAAATAAAAATCAAGTTTTAGTCATTTTATTCGACTTTATGTCTGTCCGCCACAAATATTGAAGTCGTAATATCACTAGAAAAGCGTTTAAAGCACATAAAATCATATTAAAATATATACATTTACAAGTATGTACTGTATTTACAGTACAGTACATGCATTCGTAAATTTAGATTACTTTTTTCTGTACTCTATTAAAAACTAAAATTTATTTGTTTGTAAGCTTAAAATAGATTCTTATTAACCATATATTATTAAAAATGCATTAATAAATAAAATACAGAACTGGGAATAGTAATTTATGGTTTAGCCTAGTGACAAGTAGATTCGGAGACAAGTAAATTCGACTTACGTCGTTTTTCGACTTAAGTCGTTCTCCTGGAACCAATTACCGACGTAAGGCGAGGTATACCTGTATATTCAAAATAAAATAAGTATTAGAAAGCATAACACAATATAATCAAAGTTAAAAATCAAATTTGAAGATTCCTTAAATGTAGTTAAAAATTAAAATGCTTTTAATAAACTTTGTCATTTTATGTGCTGTATTATTGATATATATATATTTTTTGAAAAGTTGATATAAATTTGAGAAGTTCAAAACACTACATATATTAATTTTAATAACTTATCAATACAGTTATGATATAAAATATGCCAAATTTCTGTATTTAAGGAAACTATTTAAACTGTAAGTATAATTCAAATTGAAACATTATTTTTATAGATACTTAAGACAAAGACACACATACATACATGTTTGCATGGGTGTCTGCAGAAAATTTTCAGGATGGCAAAGCTTAGAGACAAATAATTACATCAATAAATTTTTTTTAATTATTTAATTTTTTTAAGTTTTTCTACAAGCAGATTATAAAATACAATATTGCATCAATACAAAAAGACCAACAAAGTGTCCCTTGTTTGAGGGTGTAAGGTTATATATCTCAATTGCTTTTACAATTACAATTTGTGCATTTTTTACTTGATCCCAGGAGAGGCCAAGTGTGCTGTTTTTCTCCTCCTGTGGATGCAGAGCCGGCCCTACCATAGGGCGAAAAGAGCAGCCGCTCCAGGCGCTAAGTCCTAGGGGGCGCCTCAGTGGTAAAGAAAATTAAAGGGTATAAATTTGGGGGCAACCAAGGGCAGTGGCGTAGTGAGGGGGTGCATCAAGCACCGGGCGCCACTCGCAGAGGGGCGCCCAAATGGTCTCCAAGACAAACTATATGTGTTCTGGAGGGGGCGCTAATAAAGTGTCGTGCCCCGAGCGCCAGTTATGTTCGCTACGCTACTGACCAAGGGGGCGCCATAATAGGATCTTGCTCCATCCTAAAACTTGCCTCGGGCCGGCACTGTGTGGATGCCCATACATATGTTCATATATATATATATAGAAACATATGTATGGGCAGACACACATTCTATATATATATTTAAATTGTATAAACACACATTCTATAAAGCAGATTTGAATAACATTTGAATAAAGATTTTAAAAATTCAACATTTTAAGTATTATATTTTAATATAATTAAATTTTTTATAAATGCAATGGAAATTTTCTTTTCCTGTTGTTTTTTGGTATATTTAGTAAAATTTGAATTCTTTGGCTTTTTATTCAATATGTTTTTAATTCATAATATGATATAATACTTTTTCTGTCTTGATCTTTTATTATCAAATTCACTTTTCTGTACTATTTTGTAATGATTTCTGCCTGAATCAAATAATTTGCTGAAATCATAACAGAATGAAAAAATAATAATGAATAGAATGTAAAGGTATTATTATTTAATATTGAAAGATATCAAGATTAAAATATCCTTAAAAGATAAATAAGAAATACCTAATAAGAATAGAAGTTAAATAAGTAATCACAAAAAGAAAAATTTTATATGACAAATATTTTTCAAAAATTTAAAAAAGTATGAAAACTAATAACAAAATTAATGTCATTTCATATCTTTTTTTCTTATATTAGATAGAAATTCAGATAAAACATGGCTTGCATTATAATTTTACATATTTCATATAGTGAATCAACTTTCAAATAAATCAAAACTTTTGAATTTTATAAAAACAAAGGCATAAATTTGAAATATTTTAAAGAATTATCTTTAAATATAATCTGAATTTAACTGAATTTAATGAATCTGAATTACATATAATAATGAAAAGTGTTCTTTACAGGACTTCAGTATCGAATGATGCAGTTGATATCATTTTTGAAGATAGTTGTCGTTCTAGTGTTGTAGTTTCTGCTAAATCTAAGATCTGCCAACGACAACTTATTTCCGTTTTTGCAGAAAATGTTGGTGAGTTTAAAATTTTAATCATTTGCATTATTTATTAAATTATAAAAATATTTGAGAATATCTATGTTTAAAACCAGTTATATTAAAAAGTTTTGAATTTATGTTTTAGAATACAGGTAACCCCCGTATAACACGGCACTTCTATAGCACGGATTCGCTCTAACACGGTTCGAGAATTGGTACCATCCCCCGTATAACACGGTACTTTTATAGCACGGATTCACTCTGACACGGTTCGAGAATTGGGTAAAACCCTCGTACAACAGGAAATGTAATAAATTTTTACATACTTAAGTAATAATAGTTCACGAAAATTATTATTTTCGTGAACTATTAGTACTTAAGTATGTAAATTTTCTCTTCTCGCCTTCTGTCGATACACGTGGTCCTTCTCGAAACTTGTTTCAATGTTGCCAGATCGCGACGCTTCTGCTTCTGATGTTGCCGAATGTTTTTCCCTTATTCCATACTTGCTTTATTCTTCATAAGTGCTTAGCACCATATAAGGAAATTTATAAAGACCTTTTAACTAGAAGCAAGCAATCTAAAATTACATACATTTTGCAAAAGGTAAAGCATGGATCTGAAGATAATGCAGAAAAATGCTCAGAGGATAAGGATAACTTGCCAAAAAGAAAACGCTCTCGGTTAATTAATAGTGTTTTTAGTGATGACGAAGAAAACATTGTTTAATTTATATTAATATGTATCACTTAAAAAAATTTTAATGAAGATATTTATCTTAATTATGAAAATATACTAGCATGTTTTTTAATTTTTGGAACCTAACCCTCCTTTTCGTATTAGTTCTTTGTTTTGTATAACACGGATTCGCATAACACGGCAATTTTTTGGAATGTAACTACCATGTTATACGGGGGTTACCTGTATTTAATTTTATTTACTTGAGGTAATTATAATAAAAAGTTCAAATTTACTTTTGTATAGTAAAAAAAAATGAAATTTTACTTGAGAAATTGCAAATTGAAGACTAAATACAAATAAAAATTTGAATAAATATGAACTAATATGTATGAATGAAGTTCTTCATTTAAATATTTTTCATATAGTGAAGATAGAATTAAAAGAATAATGTAATAATGTTTTAAATATGAATTTTTATTCTGTAAAATATTATTTATATGAAAAGTAATTATAACTTTTCAACAATTTTGCTGGTGTTGTGGTGGTGATAGCAAGACAGATGTGAAAAAATGGTGCTGTGGACTGTGTGCAGAAGCTAATTAATGGCACTCAGATGACTAATCACCCAGATTCAGTAAAGATAGACAATCCTTCCTGTGCTCCACTAGGTTGCAACAGGGGCACCGCTAGCTGTTTGAACGCCTGTGTGCAATACCGATTATGTCGCCCCTGTTTAACTACGACTACCTACGCTGAGCTTGCCAGTAAGGCTATTTAGTGTTGTCTCATAAGGGTGTGAAAAAGAAAAGAAATACTTTATAAAGAAAAACTATTTATTATTACTAAGTTATTTTTGTTTACTTAAGTGTAAAACCATATAGAAAGATAGAAAGGAATGGAAGTTGTGAAGGAGAAATCAGGAGGAGAATTAATCTTGGCAGAACAGCCATGGCAAATCTCACCAAGATAATGAAAGGTAAAGACATTTCCATTCATACTAAGAAAAGAATTGTAGAAGCAATGGTTTTCCCTGTAACATTATATGGCTGTGAAAGCTGGACTCAAAGGAAAAAGGAAAGAAAAATGATAGATGCATTCGAATTATGGGTATGGAGAAGATTACTTAGAGTTCCATGGACAAAAAAGAAAACAAATATCTCAATTTTAGAAAAAATTAAGCCAAGCTTCTCCTTAGAGTCAAGAATCTTAAAACAAAAATTGACCTACTTTGGACATGTGATGCGTAAAGAAGTTTCCCTAGAGAACACTATTATGCTGGGAAAAGTGGAAGGTAGAAGGAAGAGGGGAAGGCAACGGATAAGATGGATAGAAGAAATAGAAAAAGTCACAGAAATGAAGCTGGATGAGCTACGAGAGACAACAAGGGAAAGATCAAGATGGAGAAGACTTGTCCATGAAGTCACCAGGAGTCGACGACGACTCGATGGAACTTAACAACAAAA